TAAGTATCTCAACGTCATTTTGAATTTCTTATTACTCATACTTTTGAATGGATATTTTGATTTTATTGCGGTTTCCTACAGTTTCCTACATTCAGTAATTGCATAAGTTACGACTTTACATATATGGATTTGAAGGCCTGTATTTATCCATTCTAAGGGCCGGTTGTACAATGGAAGCTTAAGTTTGAGTTCAATTGGACTCAATCTGCACGTGAAGTGTGAGGGCCAGTTACATCAAACTAGTCCAAGTTGGACTGGAGTCAAGACTTTCGAGATTCGTGTGTATTTCGGTTATACAAATTATACGACACATTTAGCTTTTGCTCCGAGTTCAGGTTGAATTCAGTTGAACAAAGCTTAAGCATCCATTCTATCTATAACCGGGCCTAGGTAATGCCATCATTTGCTTCTATAAATAATGGGTAAATAAAAATTTGATAAAAATCTTAAATTTCAGTAATTATATTGTGTGTCTGCGCCATTCAATTAATCAATTTAAATTAACTTATATAAAATTATACTTAAAAAATAATGCCAATTTATTGATATATGTTAAATATGCTTTGAATCGTTATACATTATTTGTTGCATTTGAAATTTTTTATCCGATTTATGCATAACGATTTAACGGGCCTGAGACATGTTCAACACTTGCATGTTCACCCCGTTTTATACACTCTGATAAATCAATTGGCACGTTAATATTTGGGGTTGTAAACCGTCAAAAGGAGACAGACATTTGCCGGAAATGACATCGGTCATCGGCGGAAGTGCATGGAACGAGGGTGCCACCCTAAAGTTACCCTTAAAGGTCATAGAGGGGCGACGAGACATTCGTCAGGTGAATTAGACATAATACAAACAGATCCTTATTTGCATTTTAAAGAATTATCTGAAGAAAGAAAATCCATTAATTAATTGATTTGGCACTCACTGTATGCAGAGTGTTTCAATTTGTATTATTCTTTTTTCTGTTTTTATAAATGTGAAAATAACAATACAAAATAAACAGGGCAAGTTTCGAATAAAACATATTTTAATGTGTTTTTGACGCCATTTTTCCATTTTAACTTTATTAGTTATTATAGCAAGTGAAAGTAAATTGTTTTATTGTAATTTTGATTAGCGGTTTTCAATATTTCAAGAAATTGATGAAGATTTAATGATATTGATCAAATATATCTGATATTGAAACCATTTTCACATAATTTTGTAATTATTCTCAAAAATGCCATATGCATTAAAAGATCATGTTATATTAAGCTGTTACATACCTCCAAATAGAACAGCTGATTCAACAGGATTTTTATTCACTAACAAAACGGAAACCAAGCGGCACTTAAGAATGGTCGGAAACTTTGGAAAACGGTAAACCGCTAATATGATTGCGTCTGGATTGCGTCGGAGCACGCTATATTGTTAATCTCGACGTCTGGCGTCGCGGCGCTGTTTTGATAAACCACGTGGTGTAGTTCTCCCCAAATGGTATAATAATATGAGGGGCGGAGCTAGAATTGGGCGGGGATAGCTACAGGTGACAAGCACACGACTACAAATAGATTTTTGGGGGCATTTCGGATTTTATTTCTCTCAGCTACGGTTGACTTAAAAGGGCGGTTAGATCTAAAGCTTATTTTTCCGGAAATATATCATTCTTTTATCACTTCTGCTATATTTAAAAAAATACAAGTTTATTTCATTATTTAATTTAGAAAGTCTTTAGATTACACTAGCAAGATATCTAGCAGATAGCAGCTCTATCTATAGCAGGCTAGCAGGCGCGTCTTAGCAAGTTTTCCTAAAAAAACAGTTCGAGTGCGATCTTCGTAGGTTTAAGTCCAGTTATTAGGTATACCATGTATCCTTGGATTAAGTACAGCATTCTCAAAGATTCTCTATTCAGTTTTCCCTAGTAGATTTTTCTTCATACAAGGTGGAGCCAGCAGTTTAAACTTTGTTTCTGAATGCTACAAGAACTGGAAACGGGCTGCAGAAGCAAGAGCTGGGTTTGGAAACATGATTTAGTACATTTAATCCATTTTTTTAAACCTCAGCCTTTGTGTTCAATATAACAACGTTTAAAAAACTGTTCACACTTGTGAAATATATTTTTATTTCATAACATTTATTTCGTTATTCTACGAAAGTAGATAAAATCTCGTCTAATACCTATTTGTACTGTATATTCATATTGGGACACCAAGCTATTTTCAAACTATGTTAGCTCCTGGTTTGACAAAAACATGTCAGTTATAAGTGCTTACTGAAAATTAGCCTTTGCAACGCTTGTATGTTAAATAAAAATAACTAAAAATTATTTCACATTATATTCGGACAAAGAAGAAAACAAACTATTTTGTAAAAGAGATATATTATATCCAACTCTTACCATTAAAAGTATTAATATCTCCTGCCCATCTTGAACATTTTTTCGCCGGTTTTCGCCCAAGCGGAAAATAAAGCTGGTGCCGCCACTGCATAAGATGGAAAACTCTAACCCTTCATATCATATTAAAGTGAATACCTTGGATTTTCTAAAATGCCTTAACTTGTAGTTTATATAAATGGACAATGGAATGCGAGTATCATTCACCCCCCAATAGTGCTGGCAGTCCAATATGTGGTAAAGGTTTAGTTTTTATGAACAAATAGTCAATTATAGGTAATAATTTGAACAATTTGGGCTTGTAGGCGAAAATTATAACAAATAAAGCCTATCGTGACATCTTGAATGAAATGAAATGAAATCAATGTATTTCCAATTGCTTTGAATAGTGAATTTATATTCACGCTGCAGAAAAATCTCCAAGATTTTACCTTCGATGGAACGCTCTTCGCACATTTTCCCAAAGCATTAAATAGACAGATCGGAGCTTGTGCATGGGGGCTGATGGGGGCGCATCAAGCTCACAATTGACAAATCCTTATTGTACAGAGGAGGGGAGAATGGTTAAAAGTGTAAAAATTCATCCCTCTCCGCATCCAAATGCTGGTTATTGAAATCTGAGCAGCTTTCAGTAGCGGGCGTTCAGCTGCTAAAAGTTATAAATACATGTTAAAGAAATCACGTTTCGGTTTAATTTTGAATGTCTATTTAAGATAGTTAACTTCCAGGGAGACACAGTGAAATTAAACGTAAGCCAGTAAAGGGCTTATAAGGCGCTTCTTGACATATTGCGTAGCAGCTCAGTAAAAATAACTGTGCGAGGTTCGGTGTTGGAATCGCTTGATTTAAGACTTTCAAGCAATTTCTCGCCGTCCCTGATTTCTGGGTTATCATTGTTCAGGAAATAATGGCCCTGTCTCAATAGCCGGGCTGTTGAACATAATCCGCAGGAGCAGTTCCTTTGATTTTTTCCAGCTCATTCTTGACAAGTCGTTCTTCCTCATTTCCTCTAATTACCCACTTACAGAAATAACTGTCTGCTCTCAAGGACGGAGTATATAAAGTATTTTTTATGACATTGTTTTATCCTTTCAGATATTTTGATAATTATTTCAATGAATGAGTTTTAAATTTGCGCCGCTTTAGGTGGGTATTCTTATACCTGACATGAAGAGATATAGATGTTTGCTGCTAAGGATCAAAACATATGTAAAAGGAGATGTTTCTACAAATCAGCCGACGCTTCCAAAATAATGTATTTATCAAAATCAACGTTCCTGAAGTCTTATGACTATAAAAGTGCGAAGGAGTCAAGTACCAAAACAAGGTTACAAATTGAAGGTTACATATTTATAAATTAAAACTACGGATTTACACAGAAATCCAACACTCCCACTTAATTAAAAATCTGTCGAATATTCAAACGTTGGCGCTCAATTTGCATTTCATTCGCCTAATACTGAATAGACCGTTATTTTAAAACGATTTTCCAGGTAACGCAGTACCTCATCAATCGCGCATTGGCCGTCATCTGCTAAATAAACTTTAAAGTCTTTGACTGTACCAGAAAAATATTTTTTTCACTGTACCGGGACTTTCTATAGTCTCGAAACTGAAAATTGTCAAGAAACCGACATACTTCTCATCCCAGCAGCTTCGGGACTGCTTTAAGCCACACAGACTTCTCTACAGCTAACAGGCCTTCTCGTTGGCTCATCCCTCTGGTACCTTGAGGTAATAATATTCTTGGAGATCTCCGTATAAAAATGCAGTTTTTACTTTGAATTTTGCAATCTCTTCTAAATTTTCTAATTTAGCAATATCTTCCTTTGCTGCAATCGTCAGGAGGACTCTAATGGACTCGTACCCAATAACCGCAGGAAAGGTCTCGAAATAATCGATGCCCTCCCCTTGAGAGAAAGTTCTCATTTTTCTTCCATCCCGAAGTAAAACAAAACTCTATAAACTTCATCTTTCTTTTCCAGGTTTTTTAGGCTACTTTCATTGAAATCTACATCGCTGCTAACGCAAATTTGACTTGTAGTTGTGTTTCAAAGTCTTTATATCGACGATTCGCCCTCATTGCGTACGGCAAGAACATTTTTGCTTTTTTGATCAATTTTTGTTTCGTTTTGCGTTCATCTGACTACGGTCCCGATCAAGTGCTGGATTTCTGATTTTCGAGCGAACCATTTTTCAAAAGGCGTCTTTATTTGACTTTGCATCGCTACACGATTCAACAGGAAGCTGCGCGTGGCTACCTTTTCCTTTTGTGTGCTTCCGAAATTATTCAGATATACTCACGGCAATTGTCTGATCTTAACACTTTATTCGATTTCCAGTTTGTTTGAATGCAGAACTTTCAAACCCTAAAAAACTTTTAAACTCTTGCAATCTGTGTCTCAGAAAATACACTTTGCTAAAGCTTGTACAGTCACTAAAAAGTGTCTTGAGCCTCTCGGAGGCTCAGAATTCACGGGGCCACACACATCAGAACGAATTTTCTCGCTCGGTTTAAAATTGCTGTTGTGTTCTGTCCATGCTTGCGGCTTTGCTTATACATTACGCACATTTCGCAAAAAATCGCTTTTATTCTCAAGTTGGAAGTGGTTTTAAGAATTAATTAGAGAGCAAAATCGGAATCAATGCAGTGATTCGTCTTCGATGTTAGCCATGTTTTTTCTCCCGAAAATCTATCCGAATTATTTGCATACCAATTATCTGAAACTGAACTAAAATTCCATCACAGCGCGTTGAAATCTACAAATTTACATTGATCTCGTAAAAGTAGCAAGCACATTCAAACAGCGGACTATTTGAAAAGTCCAGTTTAATTAAACCGCCACGCCACACTGAAACCGATCCGGCCAGGGACAAAAACAATAATATTGAAGCTCAAAGAGCCGGAAAAAGCGCTTTTGATTCCATCCATATTTTTAATGGAAACCCGACCACAAAGCTTCGTTCGATGGGCCGTTATTTGCTCTCATGCATATTCAGATTTCCCCTGGATTCATCAGCGTGTGCAGAATTATCTAAGTTGGGGCAAAAAACTTTCGGTTGAATCTGATAAAATTCTATAGCGGTTTGGCCTATTCCGTTTTGCGCTTTAAAATACATCAAACTTACCAGGAGGTACTCTTTGCAACTTTTGCCCCCTGTTTTCCTTTTGCCCTCTTATTGCACAACATGAATTAAATTTCTTTAAATTGATTGAAAACTGATTATTTATTAGCGTACGTATTGAAGAATAAACCAATTTATTTAATAAACATAATTGAAAATAAATTTAATACGAGACAAATTTATGCTCGCAATTATTGCGGCAAACTTACCGAAATATTTCCAACCGATTTCTATTCACTATTTAGTGTGTTCTATGCAACTGTTTATAATCGATGTAGCCAAAATAATGCTGTTCAGGCTAAAAACGCTCATTCATTTTTCCAACTGACTGAAGCTTGATTTCAGTGAAAATTTATTGGCAGTTTCCGGTAATCCGAAGCGGGGTATGGATCCCTTTCTAATTATATTATTCTATGAATTCGCAATGCGAGGATGAGCTTTTGGATAAAAGTTGTTTCATCTTCCGGGTAATTTAGTACGATTCTCACTAATTTTCATTGTCGCAGGTGCTAATGTATATATACAGGGTTGCTCATTAGTGCGTCAAAGTGCGATATCTCAGTAAATATGAAGTTAACAAGAAAATTCGTCCAACGAAAGTTTTTCACGTTTAAAAGGTCCACATTCTAAAATTACTTTCCAATATACAGGGTGCATCATAAACGTGTGGT